CTTTATTTTTATATTATTTTTTTAGGGATGCATGAAATCCTATCAGTATTTTTAACACTCCCCTCCTTTTTTTTTTTTTTTTTTTTTTTTTTTCATTCTTTTGCTCAGTTAGATCAGCTCCTTTTGTCAGGATGAGTTTAAATCTGGGTCCACTGTGTTAATCACCCCCCTTTCTTCTTTCTGGCACTTCCCCTCCAGGCATTTTGCCTCTTTAGGAGATTAAGCGACCAAGTCATCTTGTTGCTCTAACATGTCCTCACTGGAGCAACGTATTAACACAACTCCTCTGCAAAAGAGCCCTCTTTAGAAGTTTGCTGCAGGGATGACAAATTAACCCAGCATGGTGTCCCACACATCTATCTCAGTACAAATTATTATTGTAATAGAGGTTTTAGTTATGCATTTATCTAGTAATTATTGAACGGTGATACAGAAGGAAGCTGAGCAATCGTGGCCCTTTATGAGGCGAGCTTGGTGGGTGGTCTTACAGTTAATTTAGGGCAGGACTGTCTAAGCAGTTCACTCACACACAAATTAGCTGAACAGCCTGCTCCTTTAAATATTTCCTATGTCACAGGCTAACTCTTGACAATACAACAAAGGTAGAGTTTTAATTACACGGTCGCTGACTTTTGTTTAGCTGGAGCTTTAACCCTTTGCAGGTCTCCCTCTCTGCCCTCCCTGCCCGGGCTACAGCAGGAGGTGGCAGTTTGGGGATTGTGTCATGGCTAAAGCCCGACCTTGAGGCCATCTGTTGGGAAACTGCTTTTCCTACAGCACCAGCTTGCTCCAAAGTGAGTGCAGAAAACCAAAATATTCCCCTGCTCAGTCAGCTGCCCTGACATTGCAAACTGGATCATGCAAACTCGTCTGATGGTCAGCGTGGTGCTCTTTATGGATTCCTCACCCTTGTGGTGGGACTCTCCTGGCTCTCTGGCATCACTCTGTGTGTCAAGCTGCACCCGTTGTTTTTGTCAAAATTCAGAGGGATGTGGAAGGTTACAGCACTGTGCCAGCTGACAGCACCAAGAAGCAGCCAGAGAGACCATACAGAACGGGACATTACAAAATGTCTTTGTACAATGTACACCAGGAACCACCACTTTGATTCACTTGGAGCTGGCTGACAGGACAGCGAGCAGGCACCAGCACTTTGGTGACCCAGTGGAGGATTCTGATAGAGAAGGACACAGTATCTTTCCAGATATGTGACATAAAGGTTTTGCCACTTTGGCATGAACAGAGAGTACTGTGCTGCAGCGTTTCCCTGGCAGGCCTTGTCCTGATAAAAGTCTAAGTGGCAGTGGTAATTATGGAGGAAATTAATATAATGGAAACCAGTCCACTTGCTGACTTTCATCCCTTCTTCTCACACACCCCCTTCCTTGGGTTCTTGCCTTTGTGCTGTATTTCTTGCTTTTTGTAATTGTGTTTCTCCTTCATTTATCTTCCTAACACACCATCTCATTGTTTTTGGGTTTTTTTTTTCTTTCCTTGCCTTTTCTTCCTTGCTTTTTTGGCTTGCAGGATCCACACTGTCATATTCTGTGGGAATGCTTGAATGCTCTGCAGCACAGGCTGCTGTACATCCTGGCTTTACAAGATCGTGGTCAATTTAATGTTTCAGCCAGCTCCAGTTATAAAGTCACCAGAGTGTAAGTAGCAATACATGGAAGCCTAAAACCATTTATGTAAATACTGCTGTATTTAAATAATTTAAATCCTTCCCTGCCTGGTGAAGAGTTCAAGTGGTCTGGGAAGCTTTGTGAGATGCCAGCAATCCACGGTGGCTTTGCAATGCTGGAGTGCTCTGGTGAGCTATGCTGACCAGCAGATAATCTCATTTGCAGGTAACAAAAGTATGCCTGAGTAGGAGAGAGATCTGGCTGCTCGAATTTTCAAGGCTTTGAAATAAATTCTAAAACTGATAGTGATGCTAAAGCCACCCTATAGGTGATCAATTTACCATCTGCCAGACACTGAATCCTAACCACGCTGGTCCAGAGAAGACATATGGTGCATTCATAGAGTCATGCCCAAAAAACTGCCATCATCAAGTGAGGCTCCATGAATCACTTTGCTAGCTTATCACCAAAGAAACTTGGATCTTGCCACCATCTGTTGGAAGTACTGAGGAGTCACTGAAGCATTGGCATCCCTACGCCAGCACTCGCTGCACATCTGGTCTGCCGGTCAGCCAGCTCAGATCCTCTCTCCTGGCCACTGCCCAGCTGGGCCGGGCACTGGCAGCAGCACCAGTGCAGACAGGAAGGAGTGCACAGCCTTCCACAGCGCAGCACATCCAGGCAATTCCATGAGAGCAGAGGTTTTCCAACGGGTTTGTTGGGTGGAGCACCTCAGAGCTAGGAAATCCTCTTAAGGATCTTACTCCTCCTCCAAGGGAGGTTTGTTTCCAAAATGACTCACGGTAAGGACCACAGGGAAGGGCATTCAGTATCCTGGGACACCCCAGCATCAGATGTGCAGTGTATTCCAAGGGATGTTTGGAAGCGTGTGAAAGATTCGGGAATATTCCCGAGAAGTTATAAATCACTGGTTGTCAATGACAACACCTGCCATGAATAGTCTACAGCTTCTTCTCTGCTGTCTATTTTGATCATGCTTTACAAATGCATCTCATACACACATCCAAGTGATAAACTTGCACATACGAACATGAGAAGGAGATGGAACCTCCTTGTGATTGTCGTGTTGGCTGAGGAGCTTACTCCGATGGTGACCTACTTACTCACAACTCCCCTTCCTCCAAAATCTCTGCAGAATGGAGATTAAATCCCGCTCTTTGTTTTCCAAAGACCCCTCGGAATGGCCTGCCCCTGACCATTTACATAATGCACCTGTGTCCAGAGGGAATTTAGCCTGTGTGTGCTGTACCATCATCTCTGCAGAGGCACAACTCCCAGTAACTACTGGTGGAAGCGAATCTCTCAATTATATCCTCTTATATGACAGCATTATACTCTTTATGTTGCCACTTCTGATACCTGAAAAGCTTCTCTCTTCTGCTTACGGTCCCTAAAGTACGCCGGAGGCGATGGGATAAAGAACAAAGCTGGATTTGCAGAAAATAATCCATCTCAGTATATCACCCTTTACTAACAGAATGATTGTTGCAGCAGGGAAATAAACACAGCCAGTGTGCTGTGGAAGAAGAATACTGAGGAGGAATGTCCCAGAAGAACAAAGAATGAAGTCTGGGACAAGATTTTTTCAGGATGATGGCACTTAAAGAAACCATGGATGGATTCAGAGGGCTTTTCTTCCTGAAAGTCAGTGAGACTTTGTTTGTGAACGAGCATGAAACAGAAGATGCTTCTAAATGATGCTGCAGAAGAACAATTTTGGTTAACTTTTTAGGAACCCCGATGATTTAAAAGCTGTGCTGCTTCTTTGTGGAGTTAGTAAAGAACATCTCCTTCCAAACAAACAAAATGTAGGACTGTAATAATTCTATTTGCTTTTCTGGCTCCCACTGAATGTTCTTCTCACGTAGCCAATGGAAATCCCTCAGTGCACAGAAAAAGTCTTGTGAAAACAAGACTGTAGATGAGATTTAAACAAGGCCTCACCACTGAGACATTTCCTCTCTCAACCACACAAGAATCCAAAGCACAGAGGGTCTAAACAGGGGCAGACAAAGGCAGTCAATGATCTTAAAAAATTAGTGTGAGGTAAAACACAGCTAAATAAAGAAAGGCCTATTAACTAATCAATCAACAACTGAAATCTAAAAGGCTGAACTTCTAAAAGACAGGAATTGGGAGTCAGCTGATGTGCACTGAATAGAATGTTAATGGAAGCTTCATATTAGTCATACTTGTATCACCAATTATCAAGGCTTTTAAAAGAGGGCATATTTGCCAGACAGCTCGGATCCAGATTTCAAGGGAAGTCTCTATAGGCTTAGATGCCTAAATTTCTTCTGAGGATCTAGGTCCATGTCTAAGGGTAATGAATAATTTTTATGGATTAACCACAACAACTCAAACTACAATAAGCAGATTTAACAAAGCACAAAACCTCCTGAAGTGCAAGTCTGACCTTGCTTCAACTTTGTGCAGCTCCACCATTTCTCACCACATCACCTGGATGTGCAGACAAAGAGGCTCCTCCTGGTTTATGCTGCCCTCAGTAAAACCACACTGATGCCAAACAGGCATTTCCAAATAATTTCTAGGATGAGTTGCTAATATGCATCTTTATGTTTCACCATTCGACCAATTCCTTAATAATCTTCTCTAAATGAGAAAAAATTTCATAGCAGGAAGAAACATATCACAACCATTCATTCCTATTTTTATATCTTCCAAAGAGGTTTGTAAGAGGATTCATTCATTTGTGTTTCTTCTACGCCCAAGTGAGTTCCTTTTCAAACGTGAACTCCGTATTGCATTTAGTTTTCTAGGCTAAATGCAAATGCATCTTTCTAACAAAAATGTATAAGCACATCTAGACCCAGAGGACATCTCTTCTACTTGGAAAGTCAGTCAGAAGAGTACTGAGAAGGAAACCAGCCAAAGTATTGCAGGAACCAACTTCAAAGGAGTCCCCTAACAAGGCACACTGACACCAGCAGCACAAGAATAAATGACTGGCAGAAGGAAATCCACAGAGCTGGAAGACAGGCGTAGGTCAGAAGTGATGGATGGGTCCCTGTCTCGAGCAGTTGGACCGAGTCAACGTGATGGATGGCCACAAGCAGAAGACACTTCCCTGCAACACATCCTGTCCCTTTCCCCACCCTCTTCCAACAAAACCCCAAGGCCCCAGAAACCAGCGTTTCCACCTTGGGTGGTCATCAGGAGCTTTCCCAAAAGCAGCCCAGCCTACGAGAACCAGCCTCTAGACACCTAAAGCCTGCAGGGTGTGACGGCTGGAGCGCAGCCCCTCGCTGGGCGGTCACAGGTGGCGATGGCTTTCCGTGGAGCGGCCGCCGTGGCTACCCTGGGATGGCTGGGGGCTCTCGGGAAGGGCCTCACCTCTGGGTCCTGTAATGACAGGTCGATGGTGCTGTGTGAAAGCCGTTCCAAGGGAGGAGGTCTGCGAAGGCGAGGGACTGCTGAAACCAGACTTCTCTGACTTCTTTAATGTAGTTGGCGATGGCATTCCTGGCAAGAATGATTGATAAGTGCAATTTAATAATGCTAGGTCATGGAACGACAGCCTATGCATTGTGAAAGGGGGTGCAGAAGCAGCTAGATACACTTAAAGGACAAATGAAACGCAGCACAACAGCAAGCTGAAAGCTCACTTTTATTCGTGGGGTTTGTTTTTGTCAAGGCAGAAGCAGCCATGGTTTGCTCTGAGCCATGAGTACTAAAAGGCAGCCATATTTTTCTTATAAAGCTGAAATACAGACAAGATGCAGCTTATTATTGCTACTGAAACCTACTCTGCTTTATTTTTAGAAATCTGTAATAGCTGGAGCATTTGGATTTTTACAGGTTTTTTATGAGTTCTGTCTTTCACTCCTTGGTTTAGTAGATTATTGCAAATGGATCTTTTAAATGTGCCGCACGACTCAAGGCACAACCAGAGAATGGAGTTCTCTGAGTTCAAACTCTTCCTCCCCTCACTCTCTTGACTTCAAAGGTATTTGAAAGTTATAAGTTTCTGTGGTTCTCTTACGCTTTCAATTTTATTTTTTTAAAGGCTTAATGGTATTTATATCTTGATATTAGAAACTGCATATAAGTGGAATTATTCTGGAGTTGTTACAATGCCCTTGAACTGCATCAAAGGCTCCCAGTGAAAATCAGAGTTTAGTTGTCACTGGGTGAAACCTCTGCCATGGACAGGCAGAAATGTTGTGGTACTCATCTGACTCGTTTGGTATACAGGGTGAGAATAACTCCTGTTGATGCCATAACATAGCTGTGGCATCAATAAAATTCAGGGAATGAACACATCACAATGGGCTTTTAAAACCCAAGCCTCTTCTGTGTATGGTAGATGCTTGGATGGAATAATTTTACAGTATATACATGAAAAGTATGCATGTTTGTCTGTACTAGCCTATATTTTTGCAGTTCTAGATGCATCTGTGTATTCTGATTATCAGAATGTATCCTGAAAACTCAAGATTTCGAGTATATACAGCCCATTGGGCATTCTGCATATCTGTAGGGGTATAGCAAAACAAAGGTGGGGATTTCAAGTGGAAAAGCAAAATATCATGTAATGTGCAAGTTGAACTTTCCACTAGCAAAGTAATTTAATTTAATTTCCAACTCTGCATTTTATAGAATTTAATTGTTTAAAAGTAAAGAGAGAGGCCTGGACAAGATTATCTCTAGACTATATTATTAACTTTATATTTAATAAAACTAGTTTTATAGCCCTGGGATGTTAATGGCAATATGCAGGAGCCTTCTTGTACTTTATACTCTGCACTGCTGGGCCTTAATGGTTTCAGTGAGGCTTTGGAGTTTATATTTCTGTAAGTTAAATAAAGTGAGGGAATGGTTTAAGTTCCAGTGTGGTACTTGCAGCTTTCTCCCTCAAAACTTGTTTGCTACAGGGTTTGCTGTTATGGTGGCTTTTAGGAAAGGTTACAGACTTAATATTTGAAAACTCAAAGCTTAGAACTGACTGTGATGCAAGAAAAATATTGAGTTGAGTTTTTGGTTTTTGTTTTTGGGTTTTTTTTGGGGTTTTTTTTTTGGTTTTTTTTTTTTTTTTTTTTTTTTTAATGTGTCAGGGACTTTGGAGTAGGAACAAAAGCAAAGATTAGTTCAGTTTCAGGGGAAGAGAGAAAAGGAGATTGAACTGAGGTGTTTCAATGAAATATTGCAGTGCAGCCTGCTGAATTTCTGCTCCAGTGGGATGTAACTTAGTCATGGCATGTCCATATTCAGGGCAAGGACACTCAAAGGAATTAATGGTGCTGCTGACCCAGATTTCCCTGTGATGGAAGAACTGGGGATGGAAACACCAAAGGAGTGTCAACCCCAGTGCTAAGTACAAAATATTATGGACAGTCCAAGAGACTTTTATGCACAGGGAAAGTTCACTAAAATTTTCCAGCATGGGAGCTGCTTCAAGAGCAAGGTTGTACAGCCCATGAGCAGAGACCCAGGTGGGACATGAGCTACCTGAGCCCTGGGCAGGTGACAGAGGTCAGGGGAGGAATGAGATCTCAACTCTGCGGCTCAGGAGCTCCCTGCTTTCCCTGGCTACAAACCCTCTTCAGGGCAAAGATAATAAAGCTTCTAAACAAATGAAACAGCTTTTCTTTTACCCCTGTGTTAAAAAAAATACCCTGCAGGACTCATCTCTAAACCACAGCAGGGAGAAGGGGCAGAGGGAGTAGAAAATGGTTAAAAGCTGCAGCAAGTTTGTGTGATTGTGTCCAAACACTGGAACTTGAGGAGCTACAAAGAAGCTGATGAATGACCTTGAGTGTGGCAATGCTGAGCAGTGTCATGTTCATACGGGGATGGGTTTTCTAAGGTTGAGGCAGAGGCTTTCATGTGAAAATAGAGATTTTAATGTAACCCTATGCAGGGAAATTGAGTAGAAAAACAAACTGAAGCACTGATAATTGGTTGCTACTTTTGCTCTATTTGTTTGTTATCGTTCTGATTTGCCATTATTATCACAAGTTTGGTTCATTTATTTATTTTTTTTCCTGGGTATTTTGAAATGTATTGGTTTGGAACAGTCCAACTATACCATGTTTTTGTTTTGTTTGGGGTTTGTAATGACACATTTTATTTTGAGTGATCACATCCATCAGATCTCAAGAAAAAAATGGCTGCTTCCTAGTTCAGAAGAATATGCAAACAGGAGCTTAATTACATCACTTAATATTGACCAGAAGAAAGAAGAAAATGAGCTTGCCAGCTCATTTCGAAAGCATGTTTTGTCCTTTAAGAGGGGAGGGTATGACAGAAAGTTAGGCAGTGCAAAGCAATTAGCATCATTCACATTTTATGTTGCGCTAGCATGGTGCTCTAGCAGCAAAATTCAAACATTCTTTGAATGGGTTAATAAAAGAAGAAATACAGTCGGCATGCAAGAAAAAGGTTTCCAAGAACAAGCCAAAATATGTCCCATTCTTCTAAATTTATCACAGCCATGTCACATTATCCTTGAGACTGCCAGGAATGTCAATTTTTTTGCAATTTAAAAAAAAATATCTCATTTAGCACCATATGTTTGGTTAATGTGCCTGATATATCCTGCGTATTCTTTAGTCCATCCATTTCTAATACTAATTTTCTTTTTTTCCTCCCCGTGCTAAGCCATATGTTACAATACTGGTCATTCTATTGAAGCTCCTTTCGGGAGCTGAGAGCGAGGGGAGTCTTGTTTAATCACCAAGAAAAACTTTGAATTCTACAAGCCTCACTTAGGTGAGCAGTCTCAACACTTGAGTTAGTTGTAGGTGCCTGGTGCCTATGAAAATCAGGCCACCTATGAGGTGGCACAGTGTATATTAACTACGAGGAAGGAACTAAAGGTAGGTGGCTAAACATTGAATTAGGTGTTTAATTTCTGGCACCCACGTTTGAGACTCTTGGCTAGTTTTAAGGGGCTTCTGCTCCAAACCTAATGAGTTTTAACACATTAAGCGGCCCTCAGTCCGCAGGGCCCCTCCTGTGCTGCTCAGAGATGCAGGAAATTAAAAAGTTAAGGCTGAAGGTAGCTTGGGCAGAGCTGGGGATGCATCCCGGGAGGATGGGGCTGCCTTGACAGCTTTCCTCAGTGATTACTGGGGACCACTGCACTGAACACCAGATTTCAGCACTTCACAGGACCCTGAGGAAGGGGCAGTGCCAGCTCTAAGGACACCCCTGAGTCTCTGCTCTCCTCTCTCTGCTCTCTGGTGCAGGGCAGCAACAAATTACAATCTCCCCCAGCCCGTCTCAGCTGCGCTGGCCGGTGGATAGGGAATGGAGCCAAGGATCCTCCCCGTTCCCTGCCTCTCTCCATCCATCTGCTCTGAGCAAGGAATAAACAAGAACAGCCAGAACACAACGGCTGGGTAACCCAGGTGGGGGTTAAAAGTGTTCCTCACTATTCTGTGGATAGGACTCTTGTCCAAATCACAGTCACACCTGGCGCTTTTAGGAAGCACAGCTTTCAGAATCCAGGTCTGAGTCTCCTCTGAATGTTATTTAGAGTGAGAGAGAAGAGAATCAGACTTTTGTCTATTTTCATCTTATGGCAGCTTTTAACTACAGAAATAAATGGAGAAGTTAATTGCTAAATAAAAGAAGAAAATAAAGGAATTTATGGCATAAAACGCAGATGGAAGCCTGAGTGGGTGTGCTACTTTAACTTACTGTACTTGTGTTCATGTGATTCTATATGTATGCCAAACATATATGGTCTGAGCCTGCTCCCATTAACATAAATCTGTTTTATTCACTGGACAGAGGGAACCTGATCAAAGACCATGATGGTGCTAAATGGAACAAGATGTGTACTTTCGTATTTTTTTCCAAAAGGAAATATTAATTTGACATTGGTTTTTCAGTTGAGAAGAATTTTAATTGCAGTACACAATAAGCAGAAAATTCAGACAACAATAATCTTGAAACTGTTAGCAGCATTATATTTCTGTCAAGGAATTTGTGTGCTTTTTCAACATTAGAGCTTTCTGAATTTTCATTAATTTGGCATTTCCCTAAACACACAAGTTATTATTTTGTTCATTCCACATCATGCATCACACCCTTCTGCTCAAATGCATAATGCAAGCGCAAATGGGATCCTTGTCCTTGGGAGACTCTGGTTACTGGAGCCATTGGATGTTGAAGTCCCGCAGAAAGACTTTCCAAAACTCTGCACTTCGCAAACCTCCAGCCCAAGTTTAATGAGTGCACAGGAAAACTTCGTGTTCCTCATCTTCTAAGGGGCACTGGAGCATTGTGGTGGGTTTAATTCCTCTACCTCCTTATGTTTGCCAGTATTAGAAACGCACCACATAAGAGTCTTCCTTGAGTACAGCTAAAGGTCTTCAAATGTTCATGTATGAGGCTGATATATATTTAAATGGACCAAAAATGATGCGTGAGAATTGAATGCACAGATCCTCCCCAGAACAGACAAGTATCTGCAAACCTCTTTTCCATGAACCTGCCACGTGCCTTACTAAAAAAATCAGGATTAACTCTGATGGCGTGAGCGGAGTCATAGCAAGAGGAGAACAATCCCCCTTCTCTCCAAACCTACACCTGAAAATCCATCCAGTTTCACTTGATTAATTACTGACATTATTCTACCTGCACACATCTCACACAACAACTCCATCTCTTGTTAGCTACGTTTGTAGACCAGCTCATATTCATCTCCAAAGGCCTTTGGATAATTACCCCAATATTCCCAGTAGCTCTCTGCCACTAGACTCTTGATGGAGATTTCATAACAAAAGCTATGAGTGAAACATGGTCTGGATCCTCCTTCCCAAGGCACACTAGGAAAAGGAATCGTGGAAACTCAGGTATTACCAGGTGGACCATGAACTCGACAACATGCAGAACAAACAGATGATGCAGAAAAACAAGTTGGCTGTTGAAGGAAAAAAACTGATACATGGGAAGCATTTTTCAAGGAATTTTCATCCTTCTGTGTGAATTATTCCAGCAATTCCACTGAAATCAGTATCAACAGAAAGGCTGATCAGCTGCTCTATTTTTTTCTTTTAATTCCTGGGGAATTCTTAGTTTCAAGCTTCTTGAAATGTTGACGGCTACCCTCCTGCCAGTCATAGCAAGTCTGTTCTATTTAGTGCTGAACAAACTTTGTCATCAGCCGAGATACGATCACACTGACTGCCATCCATCAGTTTACTGTATTAATTGCTCCAGTATACACAAAATCCAACACAGATGGAAATTCACTCATCCTAATGAAGTGCTCTTTAGTTTCTACGTTCTGAATGGGTACTGGCTCCCCTGCTTGCAGCCGGAGTTACCATGATCACTGATTAACTACCTGCCAGCGGAGCACCTCGCTTCACAAGGCTAAATCCAGCTTAATAAACAGTGATTTTTACAGAAGAAAAATGAAAGCTCCCCCTCTATCCACTTATCAAACTGCTGCATATGCATCACCAACACACACATCCAGTTTTCCTCAGAACTCGACATCTGACAGATCATCAGGAAAACAGAGCTAATCTATCCGTACCCATCAACATCGTATCATAGGTGACTGCCAGATACTTAAGAAGCCATCCAAAAGAAATGTCACAACTCTTTTTCAAGACACTACAAAAGAAATGATCCAAATAAAATAAAGCAAATGCACGTACAAGTAAATGAGCCAAAGAACTTAATAAAAAGAGATTGATTAAAATGAGGACCAGAATGTTCAAAAAGGACTGAGAGAGAGAGAGAGGTGCCAAAGGCGCATTAAATGGATTCAATGGCTTTAGGTTTTAAATGCTTTTGGACTCCTCAGCAATTTTTAGCCAAAAATGATAATTCAAGTTAGAATCAAAATTCTGATGTCACTTAGAGAAAAAGAAGGTTGGAGTTTCTCCTTTGCAAATGAGCCCAGATCCATTTGCGGAGGAGAAATATCAGTTTACAGTGATGGACAACCTTGCCTACAGAATTTTAAAGCCGAGCACTACAATATTCACAATTACTTTTAAATCCTACCCCATGAAAGTCTGCCTAAATTGTTTGGTACAACGTTCTCATAGAGTGTATTACCTTGTCTGTTTGTATCTGTGTTTACAGCATCATCTGGATTGTTTTAGGTCGCTTAAGTTAGGCTTCATTCCTGCTCTGCCACCCAAGCAGTTCTTTCAATAACTAATAAACTAGTACTCAATATCTTACCAATCTCTTCAAAACATAATTTCATGAGTTATATATTTAAAAACTTTAATGACAAGAGCAATAAACAGCAGGATAACAGTTCAATTCTGTCTTTGAGTTAATGTCAGCTTCGGCGTAATTTTCCATTGTACAAATATATATTGCAAGAAGAATAAAGAAAAAAATTCTAATGACGTCTTTAGACATCTCGTCTAAAATTCATGACTACATTTGTTTCATTTCAAATGCTACTTGAGAGTTTTTCAGCACACTTGGCAGATTAGATATAGCAGCAGGGACAAACTGCAGCCATCCATAGGAGAATATACCTTTATGTGGGTGCTTTGGGGATGGAACATCTATAGCTGCAAGGCAAAAAATGCCATCATAAATTTGGATGGCATTTACAAAGCCCTCTAAAAAGTCTTTGCATATGATTATAGCTGAGGTATGATATTTTTGCAAGTAAAAGACCCAGAATAGATTTATGTTTCAACTATATCTTCCTGAAGATGCATATGGATCCTAAATTGCGAGTGATACTAAAGGAAATCTTAGTAACTGAAGAGGATGGAGTAAAATTTTTGGGGTTTTATTTATTTATTTAATTTTCTTAAAAAGAATTTGCTCATTATTTGCATGTCATCAAACCATCATTGGCTACCCAGGCTATATATAACAATGATGGGTGCTAAACGCCCCAGGCATGAGATGGAGATGGGTAAATATGCAGATTTTCTGGACTTGTGACTTCAGTTACTGCATGGTAATGTTTTCAAATGACTTTTATGATGACAAGACTAAGTTTGGTGCTAATATTGGTTTTGAAGATTTAATCGGTGTACAGTGCCATTGAACATGTGTTTTAATTAATGAAAGAGCTGTGGTCAGAATTGAAAATAGCCCAGGTGATTTACCACCGACTGTAAAGCCACCTGATTTCTGCACAATTTAAGGTGAAGAGTTTATAGGTTATTCCAAAGGAAGAAAGAGTTGCAAACTGAATTCATGTGCATTGTACCAAGGGATTTATAATTTGGCAGGTCAAGAGTGGCCTCATGGAACTGTTATGTTTTGGTATCCAGTGGTTCCTGATGTTTTCCCCTCTGACTGCCCCTGTGTGACACTCAGGGGACTGGACCCTCCACAACACCAGAAATAATTTGTGGCTGCTGTGCTCCTTCCTGGAAATGTCCACGTCCAGTTGCACACTGGAATGGCACTGGGGACCTGCCACCAGCAGAGACTGAAACCACTTCCCCACAGGTGACACCAGCCAGGTGAGACCAGCCTCCCTCCTCTGCATTCCCAGTGGCCCCAGGATTCCCTGAGGGAAGGCAGAGCACGGCACTTTGGCTTTGGCATGGTTTCCAGAGGAGCCTGGATGGCCCTGCTGCCTGCAGGTCTGCTCCTGGGAGCTGCCCAAGCCCTCTGCCACCCACTGGGCAGGAGAAAACACCCCTGGCAGCAAGGCAGGGAGCTCCCAGGGAAAATCCCCCTGCAAGTTCCATGAAAACAGGCACGGCAAGGGCAGAGGTGACATGGGAGTGCCCCCTCCAGCGCTGGCACTCCGGCAAAGTGCTTGGCACGAGCTCTGTCCTCGCTAGACACCGGAGAATCCACACCAGAGCTGGGACATCCCCCCCAAACCAACACAAAAACTCTGTGCACCGAGAACGAGAGCATTGGCATTGTTTGAATAAGCACACCCACCATGAAGTGCTCCGCGGTGTTCGGGGTTTCTTAGATATCCTGATTTTATAAAAGAAAGTAAAAGAAGAAAAAAGAAACAAGGTGAGAGAGAACACTATCATATTTTGTAGCAAGCAGGATACTGTGTGAAATCTTGGCCCAGTGAAGTGATAAAGGGGAAGCTTTCAGTTTGCTTAAGGGAAAACTTACGAGCAAATAGCAAAATTACCAAAATACCACATTGCAGAAAATAGGTGCATTTAGGTTCAATTAAGCTGTAAAAAGGAAAATGTCACTTTAGCTTACAAAAACCAAGGGACACAGGGAGCTATCAGAAGCAACTTTACAAGATTTGTGTGCGTGAGGATGCTGCTTCACTGGACCAAGAAAGCTACAGTATGGGACAGGATTTTTCTTTTATCAGACACTTTTGCTAGATAGCTTTGTCCAACCTCAGAAACTGCTGCTCTGGCATTATGAAATAATCCTACATAACTTGATCTCATGAGCTTAGGAAACACAGAAAAATAGCCATGCCAAATCAGATTACAGGGATCCACCTAGTCCAGAATCCTCTCCCTGACAGTGGGAACTAATGGACACCTAGGAAAGAGTAAAAAACCAGGGAAAGCATACAGTGCTCATTCTCCAAAACACTCCCAAATGATTTGTGATTCAAGGACTTCTAGGACAAAGTTGATATCATGCTATTGAAGCTGCTCGAATCCAAATGCACAGATTTACATCCCCCCCTCCTCCCCCTTTTTTTTTTTTTTTTCTTTTTTTCTTTGGATTTCTACCCCCATGAGATTTCTACCAGTCACACAGAAAAGGTTTCACAGTTTGGTGCTGGCAAGTCCAGCGTTCTTGCCACTAACTCAGAATGAGCTAACAGCTTTCAAAAGCCCAATGATCTTATGTGTATAAGAGCATCCAACACTTTTTCCTACGTAAAAAAAGTGACATGTGTGCTGAGGTGCTCTGAGTGTAAATACTTTGGGAGATTTGATATTTTTTAACCTTTTTTTTAAAAAAAAAAGAAAAGCAAAAAAAAAAAAAAAGCAAGGATCTGGCTGTAAATTGATATTAACATTTTTCAGTATATGTGTAAAACACATGTTTCAGAAGAATAGAAGAGAGAAACTGTCACTCACTGGGAAGCTTTAGAGCTATCTGGCTCCCTGGGAAACTGCATGCAACTATTCTGGTGTCCAAGGGTTTGACCAGTGAGTTTCCTCTTCCTGCAAAGAATGAATGCAGAAGTAATAGAAAGTCTGAGGGGGAAGATTTTAGCAAATGGCTAAAGAGAATCCTATTCTGCCCACTCCAGCAGGTAGGAAGCAGGTGGTGGTGGTGGAAGAAAAAGGGTGGGAGAGGAGAAACGCCTCCGTGTCCCTCCCAGGAGCTGGCACAGGGAAGGGGGCACTGGGAGAGACCCAAAGGCAGCAGCTCAGCCCGGTGAAATCCCTTTGTGTGTGGTCACCCCAGTCCCAGCAGTGCCACACAAAACAGCACTTTCTGATCTGATTCTCAGGGCCTGGCTGTGGCTCCTTTCAGGATGGAGCACAGGGACTGAACTCAGCACAGAAATCCCAAATTCCCACACAGGATCACTGGCTTCTGAAGCATCCTGCTTAGTTTACTATCCACTGTTCGGGGTGGGGGGCGGTGGTTAGAAAGCTTTTAATTTTAATTTTCTAATCGAATTGGTGCCTACACATGATTTTTTTTACTTCATTTATTAAAAGAATCAGTAAAAGCAAGGGTTTGAAAAAAAAAAAAGCTTATCCTTACATTTTTGATGGCATATTGACTTTGTAAGAGTCTACAGGCAGGAGTGATATATCAGGGAGTCCCTATAACTTTACTTAAAGCAAAAATTAGAAAGGGATCGGAAAGTTTTATAGAGGAGAGCAGAAACATAATTTTAAGCCTCTTAAAATTGCCTGAACTGTGAAATCAAGTAATGAACACTAGAAAAGGATCTGTCAGCTGGAATCAAAGCTTAGACTAGTCAGCATTTTCTTCCTAAACCTTATTATGGCAAAGATTTTTCATCTCTGCACTCTGTTCAGCCCAACAAATAAACCAACTTGACCTCCACCTGTTACCCGGTGAAGTTGGCTGTCATCTCCGACTAAACCCTTTTCTTTCCCTTCAAAGCCCTCGGCACCACTGAGAAGGTGGGAAGACACAGCTGTGCACTGACTCAAATTGATACCAGTTCATAACCAGACAGCATTTCACAGTACAAATTACAAGCAACAGAGGAGAGGGGGGGGAAAAAAAAAAGAAAGAGGATAAAAAAATGTAGTGCCAATGAATTCTGGAAGGGGGCAACATTTTTCATCCATTTAACAATGAGATTTTCATAAAAAGAAGTTTTTTTTATTTGTTTGGGTTTTTTTTTTTTTTTTTTAATGTGATATTATGGACAAGCATTTGAGGCAAGAAACATTTTGCTTATGCCATAACAATGAACCTGTGCTAACACCACAGAGGAAGGACTGAAGAACATAATGGAAGCTATTTGTGTTGCTTTTATATTTCATAACTTGAATGCATTACACTGGTTCAAAGAGGTTTAGCTCCAATTGTACGTAGCTTTCTAGACTTAGGAACAAGTCACAGCTATATAATGCAACACTGCTAAATAAAAAAGAATTAAATATTATGGAACACAGAACAGCAAGAAATGTGCCATGAGGAAACCCGTGTAGCTGCTGCAGTCATTTCTTCAAATATATCATCGTGGCAAAACCGAGTGAGAAGCTTTCTAATACAAAGACATATCAGAAAAAAGCCATTTCATATAAAGTTGGACTTCTCTGGGTGATTAATGCTACGTTCAACAAAGGAGACAGTGTCTGTCTAATTACATTAAATACTTATCTTCTAGGGATTGGCAGGGTGTTTCTGCTCAATGTCACTTTTCATGACAATGTAATGATAGATCCGTTTACTTACCAGTGCCATTAGCAAAAATTGTACTGTTTTCTCAACTGCCCTCATATCACGAAAATATTTGATTAACATACTGCAGCTTATCTAATACTCTAAGCAACATATTCTGCATAGTTTTCTCTCTATTAAAAGAACAAGATTACAGCTTGTAAAATTTTTATTGCACTCACATAGAAATAAATGAATAATGTGTGATAATAGTTCAAGTACCTTACTAGTTCACAGAACAGGTTTATTTGATTTAAAATATTAACTTGTACTTGAAATATTAAGATTTTGGGGGAAACAAGCAAATAAACAAAGTCAGTACTCTGAGGCACTACTTCCCATCCAGGTTTTAGTTATTATTTCCTTTTCATTTCAGCACATGTTTTGAAACTTTTAATACCTTAGGGGAGGGGGGAAAAAATATAAAAGGAAAAAAAGCTTTCATTCCTTTGCTGGAAAATAGATATGGCCATCTCCCAAGTCTTTAAAATTCACCACATCGTGAACTGACTCTTCGGAGTCATGCTACTGTGCCAACATCCAGCAAACAATAACCCTGTGGAAGAATGTACCCAGCCAAGGCAGTTTATATAGTAACAAGATAATTTCATAAACTTCTATTGAAGAGCGAGGCTGTGATGTAACATTCTAGCAGTATATATCAGCTACCTGATATTTACTAACAAGGTTAAACTCCTATCTGTTTGTCTCAGCACTCTTCATAATTCACTTTTTAATGGATGGACAGGAGAAGTCAGCAGTGTATGGCACAGATCATTTTTGAAATAGGACAAGACAGCTTACGGCAGTGCAAAACATCCTTCCTGTTCCCCAACAATCACATCAAGCCTGGACTTTGCAACTACAGTTCTTCTAATCTGCTCATAAATCCTTTAGGGGCGTGTTTCTATTTCCAAGGAAATTGGTAAATTTGAAAAACAAAGGGTCCCGAGGAGGAGGTGTCACCATCAGCTGGTGCCACGTACACAACATCAATTCTCAGCTGCTTGGGTTGGTGTTCCTGGGCAGAAGGCACGTGGGGAGCTGCCTTCCTTCCTTCCTCCTGTGAAAAGTGAGGCCATCCACCCCATTTTGTCACAGCTCTTCACGCCGCCGCGAAATGGCAGCAAGGACGCGCCAAAAACGACTCGTACGGGGCACAAATCGACCCAGCCACGCAGAATCGACCCAAACTGCCTTAAAATCCCTTGCAAGTGACTCTTGCAGTGAGAGGATGACACCACAGCCAACTGCCACATGCGACTCTCCAAATTAATAATGGATTTGGGATATTCATTCCCTGGGCTGCGAGGGTTCGGGGTGTGTCTGCAATTATCGAGATATAAGTCTGACACACATTATCCTTCTATCAATGTCATTTCCCTTAGTAGCCAACAGATTATCAGCAGCTTTGTGATATTCCAGGTGTCAAAGAAGAATTAAAACCACAACAATTGCACAAACAAAGGGACAAAAGATGGGATACGTGTTTTCTGAGCCCTGCATATCAATTTAATATGTGCAGCTGACAATGATGCAAATGTCCTCGGGAGAGAGGCAGCAAGATCCGTGCCCAAACATACACACACCACTGTCAGCAAGATGGCAGGGAACAGAAGCAGTAGGATTCCCAGCCCAGGACACATGCCTCAGCAGGCAGAGCAACCCAACGAAACAATCCTCTGGTTGGGGAGAATTTTGGAAGCACCTGATATGGAAAAGGGCCCCAAACAAGCCAGATGGTACTTTTAGCTGGCAGCAGAAAGTAGGAGACAGCCAAAAACATTACAGCATTTCCCCAAGAGGCCAGCAAATCGATTTTTAACCATTCTTTTTTTTAAAGTGACGCTATGAATATGAAAAATAATGTTTTGATGCCTTTTTAAATCGCTAATTTTATGAATAATACACTTATAGAGGACACAACTGGAAGAGAGGAGAAAGCAATGGATTTTGACTTTCCCAGGGTGGTTGTATATTTGACATCAAGTTTCTATTCAGTCACTGCCACTGTTTACTCAGAATTGAGTGTCAGTTTTTGTTCTGGGTTATCCACATAACATTAAAGAGAAAAACCCAGCAAAAGTAGAGAAATAGCACTGTAAAATCACAATAGCATGACAGTTCACAGGGCATGGGAGAAATGTGGTTTTTAAGACTGCTTTGTCCTCTTAAAACCTTCCCCCCACCCCAAATTAATGGGTTTCTAGATGATCATTTTATAACAGAGGACAAACAGTTTCTTTAATACTTACAAGGTACCATTTGGCGGGGGATTTGCATAAGAAATACAGCTGTTTGGGGGAATGTTTCAATTTTTAAAACCTCCAAACAGCCAGAATTTGCAGTTCTGCTTGGATGACAGAGGTCTTTTCAGGGACCAGTCTGATGTCAGATATTGAACAGTCCCTTGGACCAGGAGCAGCTCCTTGCAGAGCACCTTTAGGTTACCTGTGGTTGGGGGAATTTCACTCAAAGATGGAAAACAGAGATGGGTTGTAGGGACTGAAAGGGCAAAGAGAGGCAGAGGAGTCATGAACCAAGTGGGAGTGAGCATCACCCTCTGTCTCAAAGCTGCTCCTCACATGTAGGATTGGCCACGCTCCGAGGAAGAGTCAGGATAATGCCTGACTTCAAATTGCTGCTATTTTGTTTAAAAGTAAAAGCAAGCCCTAAGACAGGGTTAAACCTGGACTAGATCCAAAGTGCTTTCTCCTGTTCAGAGTAAGGTAGTGCATTAGTGTGCTGCATCATGGATAATACTCCTGGAGACAAACGTGGGCTGCTGCAATAAAACACTGAATGCGAAGAAAGATAATCCATACATTTATATTTTTCAAATCTCATTGATTGTAAATCCTTACTTTTTTTTTAAATAAAATGATTTCCCCTCTATAAGTGGAACCCAAGACTTTGCCTCCAGCCCTTGTTGAGATAAAACAGTCCCATTTTTTCTCCAGAGTGCTGCTCTTGGGGCTGCAGGTACCACCTCACTTGTCTGGCTTTTTAGGGTTCCAAGATCTGCACGCAAATCTATTGAGGCAAATGAAGACTATGCACAAAACAGTAAAACAGCCTATAATTTTCCAGCTAAATTGAGCAAGAGGATCTCTTATGTTATGCTTTTTGGTGTATATCACACTAAAAATAGCAGCGAGCACTGATGTAAGGGAAGAGCAGAAAGGATGATGTCAGTAGGGCTGTGCTGGAGTGGTGAGGACAAGCAGAGGTGGAGGATGTTGTGGATCTCCTGCTCTTCCCTGAGCAAGATGGAACCAGAACAGAGCTG